TAGTTATAAGGGAAAAAAATCAGCATTAGAAACTATATAAGATTTCACTAACTAAAGTAATAGGAACTAAACAATGTTGCCACATTACATGATGCTGTCTTCAAATTTGTTGTTCAGAGTACCAGATATAAACATGTAAGATTTGTTTAAAGAAAGAAGTTATAAGAAATTCAAAAGAGGAAGAAAAAAATCAGAGTAAAAAAGATTTTAAGCATTAATTACTCCTTTACAAAGACTAGCAGAAATCAACAGTACAATTATCCAAACTATTCTGCATATATACCTAACTGTATCTTTTTTCCCTTCTTTCATTTGTCCTTTTCCTCATCCCAGTTTTTCTTTCCCACTGAACAATTTCTTTCTCTTTCAAAGTATCTGTTGCACCTTTTAGATTTCAATTACTCTTTAATTGCTCTTTGAGATTTTAATTACTCAAAGAGTAAAGAGATACCTCAAAGAGAATATGTTTGCATATGTGAATCTGATTTATTTCACTTACCAATATAGTCTGTAGCTGCTTCCATTTACCTACAAAAGTCTTGAATTTATCATTTTTATAGATAAATAATACTCCATTGTATAAAAATACTGTATCTTTTTTATCCATTCCTCAGTTGATGGACATTTGGGTTGCTTCCAAGATTTAGCTATGACAAATTGCGCTGCTATAAACATGGGTGTATATATATCGCTGTAGTATGATGATTTCAGTTCTTTTGGAAAAGTACCTAGAAGGGAAATAGCTGGCTTGAAAGGGATCTCCAGAGCTAGCTTTTTGAGGAATCTCCATACTGATTTCCATAATGGTTGTACCAGCCGACACTCCCACCAACAGTGCAGAAGCGTTCCTTTTCCCCCGCAGCCCCTCCAGCATTTGTTATTAGTTGACTTCTTGATGGTAGCCTTTCTTTCTGGTGTAAGACAGTATCTCAGCATTGTAATTTGCATCTCTTGAATGAGCAATGATGTTGAACATTTTTTCATATATTTCTTTGCCATTTGTATCTCTTCATTTGCGAAGCATATATTCATCTCAGATGCCCATTTTTGGGTTGGGTCTTTGAATTTTAGAAGTCTGATTTTTAAAAATTCTTTATATGTTTAATTCTTTATACAGGAGTCCTTTGTCTGATGAACAGTCTGCTATAATCGTCTCCCACTTCAAGGAAGTAAAAAGATTTATACAGTGAAAATTATAGTACTCTGAAAAAAGAGATCAAAGAGGGTTTCAGAAAATGGAAAGATATTCCTTACTCCTGGATAGGAAGACCCAACATTGTGAAAATGGCCGCATTCCTAAAACTGGTATACAATGCAGTTCCAAGTAAAGTACCATTAGTATACCTCACAGATACAGAAAAAACATTCCTAAAATTCATCTGGAACCAGAAGAGACCTAGAGTATTAAAAGTAATCCTGGGTGACAAAGGAAAAGCAGGAGGCATCACAATCCCTGACTTGAAATTATACTACAGAGCTACTGTGATTAAAGTCAGCATCGTACTGGCATAAAAACCGACCAGAGGATCAGTGCAACAGATTAAAAGATGTAGACACAACTACAAGCACACCCAGCCACCTTGTCTTTGACAAAGGGGCCAAAAATACTCATTGGAGTAAAGATAGCCTCTTTAATAAATGGTGCTGGTAATACTGGCTTTCTGTATGTGTAGGCTTAAAATAGACCCATGCCTATCACCATACACAAAACTACCCTCAAAATGGATCAAAGATTTAAATATTTAAACTGAAGCACTAAATCTTCTGGAAGAGAAAGTAGGTAGAAACCTTAAGGATATAGGGTTAGGTTAAGAATTCATTAACAAAAATCAAACTGCATGGGAAATGCAATTGCTATCTGATCTTTTTGAAAAGTTTCTGCACATCAAAAGGAATACCTTTTCATGTGTATTTTATAGACAGTATGCTAGAGTGATTTGTGGTACATTTAGGTCTAAATAAGTGTATTAGTAAGTACCAATAAAAATTTCATGTTTTGAAAGGGATTACATAGTGTTTCTTGCACCTGGGTGAGTTTCTTAGATGTAATAAAATCTGATCAACATTGTAACAAAAACTTAGGCCTCACATCAATGTGTGGGTTGCAATAAATTTCATATAAGCTGAGAGGCAGAAGAGCCATATGAAGCGAGGACACTGGGAACTTTTCCTGAATGGTATGGAGCCAGAACTGAGCCTTGAAGGCAGATTTGAGAGATACAACACTTATTAATTATAATAATGAGTGGGATGTGGTGATGTATGCCTGCAGCCCCAGCTACGCAGGCGGGGCTTGTTCTAGAGGTTCCAGACTAGCCATGGCAATATAGTGAGCCCCCATTTTAATAATAACAAAAAATAATATGTGTTTATTTATGATTATCAATGTTTTAGAAAATATATAGAAGGGGCCAGGGAGATGGCTCAGTGGATTAAGCGCTTCTCTGGCAAGTGCAAGGGCCTGAGTTCGATCCCTGGTCCGGAAAAAAGAAAAGGAAAGAAAACAAAGTATATAGCAATTATAGAAAGTTTTTGGTTTTGTAATACTAGGGATCAAATCCAAGTCATTTGTCCCGAGTTACATCTCTAGTCCTGTATTATTTTTGAGAGAGAGTTTCACTAAGTCCCTTAGTTGACCAGGGTAATCTCAAACTTGTGATCCTGGGCTAGTGAGATAGCTCGGCAGTCTGAATGCCTGCCAGACAGGCGCAAGGACCCGGGTTCCATCCAGGTGTGCTGTAACTCCGGCTGTGCCCTTCTGGCCACCAACACTGGGCATGGTGGTGCACGCCTGGAATCCCAGCACTGGGGAGGCTGAGACAGGAGGATCACTATGAGTCTGAGCTGTGTAGTGAGACCCTGTACCAAATAAAAAAATAAATAAATGGTTTACAAAAACCTTGCCACCCCCGTTCCCCTGCTGCAGGTTCCCAGAGTGCCAGGTTTACAGGTGTGCACCACCATGGCCGGCTGCTTTCTTCAGTTTTTCATTACATATGTTACTGTGTTTTTGATCTCGGTCAAGTTGCTTGTATTTCCTGCCTAGAAGTTTGGTCTGCTCCCTGCCATCCCTCCTCATTTTGCCATGCTTTGCTCTTAGTAGCCAAGTTTTATTCTTGACATTTAATAACAAGTGCAATATGATTATGCTTCGCCTCTAGTTCTAATCCTCTCCTTTGTCTGGATCTAGAAAACAGTCTGAAGCTCTTCCCACGTCTGACAAAGCTTTTCCCATGACTGGCTGTGTCTTTGTTTTTCTCTCTCTCTGGCCTTGCTCACACTTGGTGTCCTGCTTCTAATGTTTCCCCCTTAGGCCTGGACATTTGCTCATCTCTCCAGCTGGAGTGAGCTTCCTCTCCACGTGCTCCGGTCTTGACCTCATGCTTCATTTAGCTCTATCCAGACGGCTCCTCATCTGACACGGCCACATCACATGACCACCCCTCCCGTAGCAACACCCCGCAGCCCTCTCTCCCTCCTCCCCCTGCTCCATTTCTTCACATCACACTTCCTTGCCTAACATGTAGGCTGTATTTATTCATTTGTATGTAGGCTCCATGAAGGTGACTTCGTCTTTTGTTCATGCTGTGTCCCCAGAGCCTAGGATGGGGTCTGGCATGCGACAGGCTCTCAATCAGTATTTGTTGAATGAACAACTTAAATTGGCTGAAAAAGTAATTTTTTGCCCAGCATTCATAAAGCTCTTCTGTCTTGGTGGAGAACAGGAAATGAACAATAGCTCCTCAGCAGCGGAATACTACAAAGAAGTGCTGAAACAAGACAATACTCACGTGGAAGCCATCGCGTGCATTGGCAGCAACCACTTTTATTCTGATCAGCCAGAGATAGCGCTCCGGTTTTACAGGTGTGCCTTACATTCACTTTGCAGAACCGTCTTCCTGTGAAATATTAGTGAGGCAGTAAGAAAGGTGGGATGGAAATGTAGAGAAGTAATCTATAGGTCACGTGTATATGAACCGAAAACTTCAACACCCACGTGGTTTCTGAGCATCAGAATGGCCTCCAGTGATTTGGAAATGTGCAGATGTGTACAGCTTGCAAAAATGTACCTGGGAAAATGGACCCAGTTTCTTTTTAACTTACTGAATGAGTACACCACTTGCCACTGTATCGGTAGCAGCTTACTCTTTATGTAAAACTCTTAGCATGACTGCCTGCATTAATACCACCCAACCTGAGAGACACTGAGACCGAAGGAATAAGGAGCTACGTGCAGAGCCAAGTGCTTTGTGGGCATCGATGAGGATCTGAAGCAGAATCCTGTTGTGTGACGTCTTGTCCACTCATTTTTCCAATATTTTTTAGAGTCTAAATAAATTATGATCACTGGTCCTCTTTTGAATGCATGCTAATTTCTCTCCATACAAGGAATGAAGTAACAAAATGAAACGATCAGCAGCTGACAAAGTTCTTTCAGGTATATTTTGGAAGCGTAAAATAGATGCTTTGCATCCTGTGGACACCCCCAAAGTGGGTCACAGCTTCACGAGGCAGCTGAGTTGCATTTTCATTTGCTTAAATTCGCTTGTCCTTTGCCCCTTAGGTTTAAGGATGGCTAGCAGCAAAACGGAGCTCCTGAGGTGAAGGGGCAGCGTGAAAGCTGTGTGGGTCTCTTCCCAGTGGAAGCTCTTTAGAAGTCAGAGCAGATAGCCACAGAACACAGAGAGCCAAACACAGTATTCAGTTGAGCTGAAAACTTAAGAGGAAAAGGTGACACACAGTGCTGCTCATGTTAGATTGGAGGATCTCAGACATTTGCCTCTGGGGACTAAGGCTTTATGAAGCTAAAATGGGATGGTTTTCTTTTGTGTGACTATTTATTTCTTATTTTTGTCTCTAACAAAACTTTTAGGGGAAAAAAAAGTGGAGAAATTGTTTCTGACCTTGACTTGGGACATATTCCCTGTGACTAACACCCTTATGAAAGAGATGCATTTATATTTGCTTTAAACATCTTTTCATTTACAATGACCCTTTTTATTTATATTCTTTGCAGTTGATGATAATAAAATGAATTTATTTCTAGCTTTTTATATTTTTTTCATATTTCTAGCTTTGTAAAAAAATACATGTTGTAACATTTATAAAGTTGGCTAACATTTGTGCTCTTTTTTTTTTGAAAAGGCGACTCTTGCAGATGGGCGTTTATAACTGCCAGCTTTTAAACAATCTAGGGCTATGCTGCTTTTATGCCCAGCAGTATGATATGACTCTGACCTCGTTTGAACGTGCCCTTTCTCTGGCAGAAAATGAGGAAGAGACGGCCGATGTCTGGTATAACGTGGGACACGTAGCTGTGGTATGTTATGTTCCGATAGCAGAATTCTGTTCTAGAAAAATAAGTTTGGGGACATTTTCGTGCACTGTAAATCCTGGCTATGGTATTACATGGGAATTTAGAGATTTCTAGCAGTCACCGCAGTGACACTTTTATATCCCCTACTGAAGTGTACTTACACAGAACCTGTAGTTTGACCCGTATGGTTGCGATTTGCTTTCTCCGGGTAGTGGGAAAGGTTTACCTGAGGAAGGTAGAGAGGGAAGGTAGAGCGTGGGAGGAAGTGGATGGATCCCCACATGCAAATCTGAGCTTTACCTTTCAGGGCATAGGAGATGTGAATCTGGCCCACCAGTGCTTCAGGCTGGCTCTGGTCAGCAACAACCATCACGCTGAAGCCTACAACAACCTGGCAGTGCTGGAGATGCGGAAGGGCCACGTCGAACAGGTCAGGGAGCATTGACCCTGGGGACAGTCTGTTTCCTTCAAAGAAAAGCTGTCACATGTGGCTGTCATTACATAAGCTTAAAATGAGCTTTAGAGTCTGACAGGCCTGAGTTTGAATCCCTGCTCCCTCACGAATAAGCTGTGTGCCTGGGGCAAACTGCTATCGACTCCACATGGAACATTTGGTTTTGTAGGACGCTGTGCACCTCCCTGGTCTTCTCTAGCTTTGTAAACTCTTCCACTGTTGACCATCTGCTGTCCACCATTGCGCCATCCCTGCCAAAATCTTAGGAGCCACCCTTGAAGCCTCTCTGTTCCTCCTCCCCACCGCCCCAGCATTTTACTCAGCAAAGCCTCTTAGCCCTCCTCAGAGTCACGCTTGTTCCACCCTGCTGCCACTTTGCTTGTCCTGCCCCCCAGCAAAGAAGTGACCCTCCTCAGGATGGCCTAGAAGACTTTTTTAAAAATATAAAACAAGATAACTTCATCACCACTTTGCTTAAAATCTTTCAGTGCCTGGCATTTGTAATAAATCTAGGCTTTCAAAGCTGGGCTGTGAGGCCCCACAGGACTGACCCCTGCCTGCCTCTCAGACGGCTCCCTGGTGCCCTTCCCTACTTCCCTCTTTCCCACCCACTTCTGGCCTGCCGCTGGCAGCTGCCTTGCTCCTTTACGGATCACGCATTGCTCCTCCTCTTCTTTGAGGGCCTTCAGAATGTCCCTCCCTCAGGCCTTACAGTGATAGGTTTTTTCCTGTCACTGGATCTTAAATGCCACCTCCTGAGAAAAGCCATGCCAATGTCAGTCTCAAGGAGCCCTCAGGGCTAGCTGGTCTCCTGGTTTGTTTGTTTTTCTTCCTCTTCGTAGTATTTCTCATTTTACCAGCTAGTATCATTTTCTGTGTAGAATGTCGGACACATGAAAGCAGGGACCTTGTCTGCCATGTTCTCCTGCCGTGTTCTCAGCATCAGAAACAGTGCCCAGGATGTGTTAAAGTACCCAGTCAATATTTGTGGAATAGAGGCTGGGCAGATGGCTCAGTGGAATAAGCGCTTCCCTAGCAAGCGCAAGGGTCTGAGTTCAATCCCCGGTTCTGGGGAAAAAAAAAAAAAAAAGAATTTGTGGAATAATCAGGCTAGTAATAAAATAATCAGGCTAGTAATAGTAGCACCTACCTGAAGGTGTGCTTATTAGCATGTACTAATTACACAGAATAATGAGCTTCATTGTGAGCATTTCATGCATGCTAGAACATACTTGACCATGGTCAGACCCCTTCTACTATCGGTTGTGTCGTTCGCCTTCCCCTCCTGCTTTCCCCATTCCCTTCCCCTTCTCTCGTAGTCTTCCCTGAAGGTGATGGTGTGAGGACCAGCTCCTGCATGTAAAGCTGAAGCAGGACACTGAGCATATCTCACATGTTCAGTAAGTTGCACTGTTACTGTATAGATATCAAAAAACTACTTACACCCCAACAGTCTTAATGGCAAGTCAGGGTAAGTGTTGTTACGTCTACCACTTTAGAGATGAGGAGTCAGAGCCGTGAAGAGGCTCAGTAATCGTATCCAGGGTTCCAGACGTAGTGAACAGCGTGCTGAGACAGGCACTTGTTCTTCAAAAGACAATTTTATTAAACATAACTGTATTTTATAAATTCTCCGATTTGTACTCGATTCTAAAGTGGACATTTACTTTTCCGTAGGATGTTGCCCAGGTCGACACGAAGCAAATATTTTGCGATTTTTTCTCTTCCAATATTGGTGATTTTTTTTTTTCCCCTCTACTGCTTCCAGTTTCTCTAGGATAAACTTAATTTAAAATACGTTAGCAAAAGGTTTTATACTAACCTCATTTTATTGTTACTACCGACCATCTTTTATTTTTCACTCTCAAAAGATAGGTGAATTAGTCCTCAGAGTCATGGATACATGACTATATAAGTTGTGGGTTTAACTACAAATTGGAGGTCTGCTTGGCAGCTTGTTACCTTGAGTTTGTAGTCTGCACAGCACACACGGGCGGGTTGTGCCAGTCAGTGGCCTCTGCAGTACCTGATCCTGCGAGCCTGCAGGGGCCAAACAAAGAAGAATGCATTGTGTGTTGCAGGTAATTTGAAGAGCAGAAAGCCTGTCAAGTAGCATTTTTTCCATTGTTACCACTTTTAGAAAACCGGTCAGCAGTACAATCCACACTTGTTTACTGTCATCCAGCACAGATCCTTCAGCTTTGAAGTTTATTATGGTTTGTTTATAGTTTGTTTTTGTTTTTATTATATTAGGGAACATACAATTAGAGCATACAATAAAACTAGGTTAGAAGGATTTTGTTTAGCATTGAAGTTATATTTTATTTATTTATTTTTTTTGGCTGGCTCCGAATGCCTTCAGGGCAGGTTTGGCTGGCTGGCGTTGTGGGGATCGAACCACAGCACCCTGAGGATGACTGCTTTGTTGTTAAAGCAGCCACTTAAACCACTGAGCTAAGGGGCAGCCCCTGAAGTTATATTTTAAACTGTACATCATCATACTGAAATATGACTTTTAAGGAAAGCGGTTCTCAGTGTACGTCTCCTGTGTTTAGTTCTTTTCGACTTCCCTTTTCTCCCCTACTTTCTCCTTTCCCTCTATCCCTGTACATCCTTCCAATAAAATAACTTTAATTGTACTCTAAATTTTTAATTCTCTTATCTCCTCTGTCTTTGGAGGAACTTATTATAACATAATTTTACCAAAGTATCAGTAGTCAGCTGTATCCCATAAAAGGTCATTCATTGTATTTGATGAGACATCGTCTGTATTGCAGATCATGCTTATAACAGGACCTATTATAGGTAGAGTTTTTTTTTTTTTAACAAAAAAGAAAAAGCACAGGGACAATGCTGACACAGGCTCTTGCGCCTTTGCTACATCTTTCTCTCTTTTGCAGGCAAGAGCACTATTGCAAACTGCGGCGTCTTTGGCGCCCCATATGTATGAACCACATTTTAATTTTGCGACGATATCTGATAAGGTAGGCTGTTCTTTCATTAATTTATCACCCGATCTGTTTCTTCTTCTTTCATGGCTTAAAAATACAGATAAACAAGAAAATTCTAACTTTTTCTTCCTGAACAGAAGGCTGGTTTTTCAACCTGAAAGAAACTATTTATCTTGTTTGAAATTCTATAGTTTTTTTCTCTTTAAAATAATAAAAAAGACCCTTTTACTTATTCTGTATACAAACATATTTGCTTCAAGGGATAATTTAAAATAAACTTTATCACTGAATATTAACTAAACACCATTATAAATTGCAGATGAAATATTTTATGCTTTAAAACTAATGTTTAATCCTTGAACAAAACACCCATTCAGTGATTCCTTGTGTGGCTTTTACAGCAAACTCATCCCGTGCGTTGTTTATTGATTGTATTACCACACTGTCTCTAGCATGATGGATATAAAATTAGGGACATTAATGAAAGCTATTTTAATGATGAACAATATGGGGAAATGGGACTGTTAACACTGCATTGCGAGTCAGTTACCATCCAAAGACTGAAGGGTGGGCCGGCCAAATAGCCCAGTGGATTAAAGCGCCTACAAGCAGGCGCAGGGGCAGGGGGTTCAATGCTGGCCCTGCCACTGGGGCATGCTGAACCAAAATGAGACCGGGCGTGGTGACACACTCCTGTAATCCCATCTCTTGGGAGGCTGTAAACAGGTGAATCACTATGAGTCTGATCTAGTAGTGAGACTCTGTGCATCCTGTCCTAAATACAAAAAAAAAAAAAAAAAAAAAAGCTGAAGGGTAAAATTTAATAAGATGAAAACCGAAGGGATCTCCTAGCTAACTCTTGCTTAGAAACCTCCTTTTATATGGAAGATGGATTATCTTGAAGATACAACAATGGCTAAATGTTTGATGTTAGAGTCTTTATTAACCAAATACATTAAAAAAATGTTATTTTTGTAGCACGAGTATGAGGCTGTCCATACTGTCTTTTCTGTTTTGAAAACAGAAAAACCTGCAGTTCATAAACTAATGTTTTGAATAATCCAAAAGCACCAACCACTCCTTCAGGTGCTTTGCACTTTTTCTGACTTCCCCCAGCCTGCAGTGGAATGTCACTTCCCTTCCCTAGTTATTTTCTTTCTTTGTTTTTTTGGCAGAACCGGGGATTGAACTCAGGCCTTTGTGCTTTCCAGGCAAGCACTTACTCTACTGAGCCATCTCCCCGGCCCCTCCTAGTCATTTTCTTATACAGCTGTTTCCTTCGTTAAACCTCTGCTTATGCCAGGCTGTGTTGTTGGCATAGAGGGTGTAGCAATGAATAAAGCAGGTGGAAATCTCTGTGCCATGAAGCTTGTGTGCTAATAGAACTCAAGGCCCATAGAGATTAAAGGGCACCCCTTGAATCACATTGCAGCAACAGCTTCAAATTTACACCCAGATCTACGCAGCCTGCGTGTTTGTCACTGCATCTAATACTGCTTAGTTAGAGCAGAAGACTTGGCTATTTTCAAAAAGATAAGCACATTTTAATAATTCATAACTCAAGAGAGGTATTATTTAGGCACATGACTACATTTCCTTTGAAGAAAAATGTGATGTGATTTTTTAAAAGAAAACAGTTTATGAGTTTCTTTTCTTTCTTTTTTTTCTTTCTTTTTGTTTTGAGACAAGGTCTTGCTATATAGTCCACAATGGCCTCGAACTTGCTGTGTATCCCAGGCTGGCCTTAAACTCATTTTCCTCCTGCCTCAGACTCTTGAGGGCTAGAATACAGGCATGTGCCACTCTGCCCAACCATGTTCTAAAACATAAGGATAAGTGTTCCTGAAAGAACCACTAGAGTTGAATTACCTAGGGTTTGTGCATGCACATATGTGTGTACTAAAAAGTTCTGACTTTTTACAAGGGCATACACTAATCAAGATGTATTCAATACTATTTGTGCATTTCTTTGGGATGGACTTTAACACAGAGTTCATTGGAAGTCAGAAATCATTTATAATATTTTTTTTTTTATTTATTTATTTATTTATTTATTTATTTTTTAAGAACCAGGGATTGAACTCAGGCCCTTGTGCTTGCCAGGGAAGCGCTTATTCTGCTGAGCCAGCTCCCTGGCCCCAATATAATATTTTAAATATAAGGATCTTCCTAACATTGCTGTGTTGGTTCATTTTGAAACCTCTCAGAGCATATCATTATATTTTAAATACAAACTTGTTGCTTGAATTTTTTGTCTGAAACATAATACTCTAATCAAAATGTCTTGTAGTAGTATGTTACAGGTAGTTTTCCTAAGCTATAGAAAGCTGGCTGTTCAGGCATTCAAATGTCATTTTGTGTTTAGAATACTGTGCAGTGACAGGAAGAAAGCGCAGATTTGTGAATTCATAACTGGACAGCTGTGTTGCAACATAAATAATACAATGGGGTATTTTTCCTCCTATAGTTGTCAGATAATATAGGTGAGAGAATTCTAAAATTTAAGTAGCATAATTAAGCAAGTAACCTGTAAAGCCCTTTGCAGTTCTACAACAGCCACATAATATTTTCTTTTTCACTTCTGTACTCATTGCTTTTCCCGGTCTTTTTCTGGGGTGCCTTACAGATTGGAGATCTACAGAGAAGTTATCTTGCTGCCCAGAAAGCAGAAGCAGCGTTTCCTGATCATGTGGATACACAACAATTAATCAAGCAGTTAAAGCAGCATTTTGCTATGCTCTGATTGTTCCCGAGAGCAAGTATGTTCTTATGGAAGGACATTATACAGCAGAGAGAATGTGTGTGCATCTATATCTTAATACCTGCGACGCGGAAGGTGTATAGGAGAGTTTTCACTAGAATGTATAAGGAAAACTTCGCAGCAAGAAAATTTTATAAAACAACATTGTGAAATACAGGATTAAAGTATTTACAAATAGATCATGGAACCGCTCACAATGTATGGTAAATGTTTGTATTCACCATATTATATTTACCATATTAATGATTTCCTCAACTTTTCGTAAGTGTAGATTTGTAAAATCTATAAGCACCAGGCATCATATCACTTAAGAAGTCTGGACTCTGCCTTTAAAACCAATAGTGTGTCTTTATCCTACGTAGAGAAGAAAAATTATTTTTCAAGCTTTTTAAATCAAATACTTGAAAAAAAATACTTGGTGATTATATATTATGCTTTAAAATAAATTAGTATATAAAACATCAACATTCTGTCATTTTAATGAGTTCTTTTATTCATCTCAAATGAAACAAGTTTTTCAGAAGTTTTGTATTCTTATAAATGAAGTCATTTAAATTATATGCTTCCAATTTTGTTTTTTTTCCTGAAAGGGCGTTTATAGGATATGACATTATTAGGAATATCACGATTGGAGTCCACCTCCGGTCAGCCCCAAGGAAGGCCAGATTGTGAGGTCCTGGGAAGGTGCTAGAGCTTTCTTGACCTTAGTGGATGAAGCTGTTATCACTGGGCCAGGGAGATAGCTCAGGAGCACAAGGGCCTGCCTGGCAAGTGCAGGGTAGTGAGTTTGATCCCCAATACTACGGGAAAAAAAAAAAGTGATCACACAAGGACCTGTGTAAGATCAGAGCCACTCATACCATATCTTGGGATCTGTCTGTATATATATTTTTTAACTTCATGCAAAATCTTTGAGATTTACATTCTATTCATATTTGTATAAATAATGCTACTTAGCTAATAGACTAAAACAAATTGAATTCAAGGCATTATAGATTGTTAGAGAGTAGATGAGGCTTTAGAGGATGTATAGGGCAGCCCTTTGTGCCAGACAAAGGGAGCAAGGCCCTGACTCATGCAGCTGAGTTAGATAGAAGTGTTATAGGTAGTCAGACAGGGCTGGGCCCTCAGAAGGAGAAGATGCCTGGAACGGTGGGAGAGACACTCCTGCTGTGGGCTGGACCTCAGGACAAAAGAGTAAACAAACAAACAAACAAAACCCACACACACAAAAAAGAATAAACAAACCCAGCCATGTACCTCTCTAGGCATAGCCATCAGCGATTGATATTCTAAATAAGTGTCAGTCATCTTGGAAGAGCCACTAACCCAACCACCTACTGGAAGAGCTCCCGTTCTATATTCATGCCCACTTGCTATGCGACTCACTTCCCTATTCGATCAATTTAATCAATTTTATCTGAGCAATTATGCTTGTAATCTTTTTGGTTGACCATAGTTTCACCCCACTGCATGCTCACCAAGGGAGTTCCCATGTTTGCCACCTTAGACCCACCTCACCTTGTGGTTTTGCTCAATAAAAATCCCTAGAAAAGACAGATTGCTTGCCAACCTACTTGGGTTCCCTTCTGTCCTTCTCTTGGACAGAAGCTTTCTTTCCCCCAATAAATGCATTCTGCTCTTGTCCTTGTTTGTTCCTAAAATTCATACCTCGATTTCAGAGAACACAAACTCATCCCAGGTGTATTTCAGGTTGGGTGTTTCTTTCTCCTGTATCACAACTAGAACCCAAGGTCTTTTCCTCAGCTTCTGACTTGAACCATTTTTGGTTTTCCCTGACGTGTGCTTGTTTGGTGCTAGAGAATTTCCTTAAGTGCCATCAAAGTTCCTAATAAATGTTCATTATTTAAATTCAAACTATATAATGCAAACGATGTTATTAGTACATTTATAGTGAGAGCTAAGAATAATGGCTGAGATAGAGGATATTGAATATGCCCCAGTGTTCTAAGTGCTGCGTGTGAATTAATTCATTTCATTCCCATTGCTGTCTGCTGCAGTGCTGTTAAAGGAGTTAAGCTAATAATTGTCAGAGCTGAGATTCAAAGGTGAGCCTCGATAGCCTCTTGAGTCTAAGCTCTGAAACTTTATATTTAACCATCTCTCAGTGTTTTCCCACTAAATAGAGCTATTATCATTTAAAATGAATGTTAACATAGCAAACCCCCAAAGAATCCAGGGCTCCCAAGGTGACATGGAGTGACTTTTGTCTTGAATTTGTCGTTGGTCTGAGCACTGATGGGAAGAAAGGGTCAGGATGGTCGAGGACAGAATGACAGACACTGTCAGAAGCTACATTTAGGCTGCGTATCTTCTGGCTTCTGTGCCAATATTTCTGTAGAAAGACCATTAATGCTTGTCTTCCACTAGGGTTAAAGAGGTGTCCAATCTCTATGAATTGTTTGAGCAGAATTCAACAATTCAGCTTTCTTCCAGCTGATGGAAATGAAATTCGGCAAGAGGGCTGCCTCTGCTGAATAACTGCTGAGGCTAGACGTTCCTCCTCCTCCACAGAGGCATCAGTTCTGAGCGGGTTCTTGTGGTCGTAACTCTTTTGTGTATTTTGGAATGTTATTTCCCAGGATCAGAGTCTTCAGCAGGATGCTAGAGAGAGCCTCCAGGATATGGCCCAGATGTAGAAAAATTAAACATGATATGTTACTACATTTTCAAAGTTGTTTCTGAGAGGTTTTGGAGGCAGCAGCGATGGCAGCAGCGTTGGTGCAGTAGAGAAGCCGAAATAGGGGGAGAGGAAGCATTTATGAACTCTGAAGACATGGAGAAGATGGAGGGCAGGGAGATGGGCATGTCCTCTGACCTCAGACAGGAAGGATGAGACGTTATGGTCTTTTGCTCTGGGCAGAGTGGAGGGGCAGGTTTAGTGACACAAAAGGAGCTGATTGGAGGCTCCCTTGTGTGGGTGGGAAAGGTAAAAGGAATTTGTATCCAGGGCTGAAGTGGGAAAGGAGGAGGAAGTGGTCATTGGGAAGATAAGCTGTGGTTTTGGGAATTCAGCCATGTTGGATCAGTGTCATGATAATTTAGTGGATTGTACTGGGGCCATAATCTGTCAGTTTCTACACCAGCTCTCTTAATATGAAGGATTTCTGCCAAAGCTTCCAGTGGGGATTGAATTCAAGCATTTAAAAATTAAAGACTTTAGAAAGAGTGTGCTGGAACTCAACTGGAGGAAATCCTGAGTTCAGGAAGAGAGCCATTACCAGCTAGTGTTTTGGTTTTGTTTTGTGAGATAGCTGTTTGCTGTGTTGCCCTGGCTACCCTTGAGTTCCACTTCTGAAGCCACCTTCCTGCTTCAGCCCTCTAAGTAGCTAGAAGAATGAGTATCACTGTACCCAGCCTCATGCAGTCTCAAATTCTAAGGAATATAAGGCTGGAATGTTCCATGATATATCCCAGAATTCTAAGATGGTCAGTGAGGCTGAGATTAGAGGGAAGAATTTCTTTGGCAATTTGAAGACAACTGCAATTTCATATCCTTCTATATACATGGCATTAGCCTTATCTTTTGCTGAAAAAAAATTCTTTTTTAAAAAATTTTATGTGTTTGGTACAGGGTCTCACTGTGCAACTCAGACTCATAGTGATCCTCCTGTTTCAGCCTCCTCAGCACTGGGATTACAGGCATATGCCATCAGGCCTGGTCTTGGTGCCCATTTCCAAGCATCTGTGCAGGGGTGGCACAGCATGTAGTGCCAGAGATTGAACCCAGTCTTGTGCTTGTCTAGGTAGGCACCTACACCACTGAGCTATCTCTGTGGCCCTAAAAACATTTTTGAGAGATTGTCATTTTGCTTCTTTAATGTCAAAGTAAATTTTATATATTCTCTAATGCATTAATATTATCCCTTAGTCATTGCAGACCGATCAAGGCCGTCAATCTCTGAAATGAGTGGATGGTGAAGGCTTTAATAAAAGAGTCAAGTGCTGTGATTTTACAGCTACAGGAGAATCAAAACCGTCTAAAAAAATTTGAGATTTTCTGGGGGCCAGGACAAAGATCTGAGCAGAATCTTGGGAGACAGTTCAAAGACTTCTCCAGGTAGTAAAGTATGCTAGTTAGGAGACTGGCTTCTGTCCAGGCTGACATTTGCTGTGGAAGTGTGGGGGCTGCAGCTGCAGTCTCCTTACAGTTACTTGTGCTTGGAGCCAGGCATCCTCAGCTGTGGCCTTAGACAAGGGGCCTAGGCCTTGCACATGCTCATAAGTGAACGTGGAAAGCCAATTGGTTAGTATTAAATCCTGCTCAGAGCTGCTTTGTAGTACTCCATTAATTCACAACTAATAATGTCAAATTGGAATGAATACCATGTACAACAGCACTGAGAATATGATGTATACTTAGTACACATTTGACCATATATATCTGTATATATGACTTATACAAAATATTGTTGCAAGAAATTAAAAAGTGAAGAGACGTACTACATTCATAACTTGGAAGACCCAATACTGTTAAGGTGTTATTTCTCCCCAAATTACAGGTCAACATAGTCTCAATGAAAATCTCAACTTTTCTTTTTTTGATAGAAATTGGCAGGTTCTAAAATTAATACAGAGTGCAAA